ATTATTATTATTATTACTACTACTACTACTACTAATAATAATAATAATAATTATTATTATTATTATTAATTATAATATTTAAAACTACAATATTTACTCATATGGCGCATAGTTGGCGCTCATGTGTCCATTCCAGCCGCCAATGTTCAGATGCGGATGAAAGTGTTCACCGATTAACAAGAAATATAGTGTCAGAAATGGTGGATTCAGTTCAATAAAAACCTGTTCGAGATCTGGACAAACCCAGGGAGCTATTGTACCGTCCGATCTCCACTGACGTTTGATACACCGATTGCCAGTTTCCACTGTAAACGGACCGTCGGGTATACAATAGTCGGTAGCGTTGGTACCGGTTCGGCCAAAATAGTCAAATATTAGCGACTCGTGCGGTGCCGAACAGTCCTCCGATATTATCTGTTATATATATATGGGGGGCGGGAAGGGGTGGGGTATAGCATAAAATGCTTAGTAGTCTGTAGTATTTATATATCTATTTTTTATTGATATTTACTATTATTATAAAATTTATGTTATTTTTGTTACTTAAACTACAATATATATATATATATTATATGTTATGATAGTTTCAAAAAAGTATAAATTAAAAAAACTAATTAATTAATTTAAATGTTWTTTATTAACAACTGTCACATATATTATAAAATTATAAACTTATTTTTTTAATTAAATGAATAATTTTTATAATTAACCTCAAAAATATATAATAATCATCAATAATAAATGAGTTTTAAAATTTTATAATTAATATTAAAAAGTTTTACTTATTTTCCTATTTATTGAGTTTATATGTTTATTGTGTGTAGGTGTGTGTGTGTGTGTGTGTGTCTGTGTGTATGTATCTATAAATAATTATATATACAATACACACACACACACACACATAGTATATAATAAATAAATAAATTAAAATTATGACTAACTTACCCAATAGGGTAGTGTAACACTGGGATCAATACGTAACATCTCCCGTTCCAGTTTATTGGTCAGCCATCGATGGCCGGTAATAGCCTCCGGGGATTTATGCCATACTTGCCAACAATTTTTATGAATACTGGCCAACTCCCACATAAAACCATTAGCGTACAACACTTTCAATACATTAATCATACGTAACCTTTCCTCAGGGGTCATACATTTGAAGTTTTGTCTCACATATAGTTGAGGACAGGGAGGTAGGGTTGGTTTTAGTTGTGCATCTCTGAGAAAACGATTCTGTATGTAAATCCTAGCCCTTTCCACCTCCTGTACTGTCGGATGATACGGATATAGACAACCCTTATGTATGTTTTGGGCGCACTGTTGGCCAGCTATTAGGGCTGTGATTGGCGTTTGAAAAAAAACAATTTAATAAAAAAAATTTAAAAATATATTTAAAAAATATTAATAATAATATATTTATTTATTTATATTTACCATTAGTTTGATGTAAAAATATTTGCAATAATAATTGAATGCATACTAATGTTTTAATTAACATTATATATAAATATTTATTCAATATAATTATTATGTTTTTTTAAAATAAATATATTATTAACTTATATTATAACATTTAAACTATAATAGTTTTTTTTAATTTAATTTTTTTATTAGTATTACTTTTTACTTTCAAATTTTTTAAAAAATATGTATAGGTTAATTGCTTATTAATTTTTTGTTTATTAATTTTTTTTTGTTTTGTTGAGTTTAATGAACTTTATATTAAAAATATTTATATATATAATCAAGTTTATAATAAAATAAAAACTTTACAAAAAAAATATAAACAATTTAAAACAATTAGTTATTAGAAACAATACTAATAATATTTAAACTATTATAAAATTTAAAGTTAAGTTATAGTTAATGTAGTTATTTTAATAATTATTAATAATTATGTAGTTTATGTTTACTAACTAAAACATTCAATTGATTTTTTTATATAATAATTTAATACAATATATAAGTAATTTAGTTAATCATAGTTTTTAAATTTTTATTTAAATTAAGATATTAATGATAACTATAACTATAATTATATATTAATCAAATATCTTAATAATAATAATAATTATTATTATTACAGTATTATTCAAACTATATGTCAAACAATCAAAACATTAATATCATTGTTAATGATTTTAGTTTACAGAAATCATCGAATAAAGTGAAAATAAAATTTTAATATATATATATATATTTAAAAACTTAACTTTTATTATTTGCAATTAAATATAACTATAATTTTTATATTAATTAAATATTATATTAAAAAATATTTTCTGTCATAACGTTAAACTGATTAAAAAAATTTTTAAAATATACTTTATTATTGATATTAAATAACTTTTTAAACTGAGATTTCCTATTACTATCAGTGCTTTAACTATACTATTATTATACTAATACTACTACTACTACTACAGTCAGGCATTATCTGATATTTTGAATTTTTATTTAAATAATTTCATTTAAATAAAACTATTAAAATTTTTTTATTAATATTTATTATTAATTTTTGTCATTTATTTTTTTAAAAAATAGTAAACAATTTAATATTATATATTTAACGTAATTTATTAGATGAGAGTTTTATATTTATCATCAAATACTCACTCATTATATAATATCTCTTATATTTCAGTTTAACGCAGCAATCATGAGATATACAGTACAGTAAATATTTGATAATTACTTAAAATAAAAGTTAGATATAATATTCACACACAAAAAAGTACAGTATATAAAAGTCTACTGTACTGTATATACTATTTTTAGTTTATTTTTTTAATTATTATTATTGTCAGTGTATTTGTTAGTAAATAAATGCGTTTTTTTTTTAAATATCATCAAATTGTTGTATTAAATTGTCAAACTTTTTTATTTAAAAAAAGTAAGTAAAATACTATTGATTTTATTAATAAAAAAAATTCAAACAATAAAATTGTTTGCATAATAAATATATTTATATATCATATACTAATTAGTATTATATATATATATATTTCTAAAATTTAATTTAAAACTTATTATTTATATTTAATTATTTATAGCATCATAAAAACAATCAACAAGCAACAACAAAAAAAACAATAATGGGTGACCAAGCTGAATGTTGTGAAATACTATGTGCCATACTGTTCCCACCATTAGGTGTGTTCATGAAACGTGGATGCGGGTGCGACCTATTAATTAATATACTATTATGCCTACTCGGTTGGCTACCCGGTATCATACATGCCATGTATATTATTGTGGCACAAAATTCATAAATTTAATTATTATTAAAAAAATTTAATTAATTAATTAAAAGTTGATTAAATCAACAAAATGTTATTATAAAATCATTATTAAACAAAATCTATGTGATATTATATATATATATATACAGTATATGCTATTTTAGTTTAACTAAGTTTTTTAGCTAGCTAATTTAGTAATAGCTAATAATAAAAAAAATGTTATGCATTATTATTATTAAGTATTAAATATTATTTGATATTTAAAAAAAATTAATAATTATATAAATGTATTTAATCAGATTTATATATAAATAAAATTAACAATAAATCTAAAAATTTCAAATTCATAAAATATAATTTTTACAATAATTTTGTTATATTTTTTTTATAACTAAATAATTATATTTATTATTGAATTGACATTTATGACAATATTATATATATATATATATATATATATATATATATATAATTACCATGACAATAAATTATAATTTATAATATTGTATTATATATTTTTATTATGATAATAATTTAATCAATTTATTTTACATACAGTTATTTTATACAGTTAATATGTTATTTGTAAAAATATTATTATAAAATTTTAATATTGATAAATAAATATCGAAAATATTAATATCTAATTATGAGTTTATAATTACAATAATTGTTTTATTTTAGATCATATTTCTACAGATATAGATAAATTAAATAAAACAATTATATTTATTTATCACAAAAATAAATTTAATAATATAATTCAATGAAATAATAAATATATAAATATTTACACACAATAAATACAAACATACAGTGACTAACAACTTGTTGCACAATACTATGGTAAGGGTATGTAATTAAATATACAGTACAGGTATACAGTATTACCTGTTTTTTTATTATTAATACTTGAGTCTAGTTTGTTATGTGTGTGTATGTACGTATGTGTGTGTATGTGTTTAAAAATTACTACAATATTAAAAAATAATTATTTATATCATTATAAATTTGTTTTAGTAATTAAAAAATTAACTTTATTATATTTATTATTTCAATTCTATTGTTTAATATTTAACAATTTATTTTTAGTGTTAATGTTACTTTATTGTATGATTATATTATTAATATATAAATATATATTAATTTATTATTTTTGAGATATCGATAACAATAATAATAATAATAAATATTAATTTCTAAATATCAACCATACAATGTGCAATTCATTGTTATCATTATATTTATTGTAGGGTTGCTATAAAAAAAACATTATTAATATTGATAGAAATAATAATACAGTATATATAATTTAAACTAGCATAAAATTTTGTTTATTTATTTTTCTAATTAACAAAAAGTTAATTTTATTAATCAACTTTAAGTTAATATCTAAATTTATTTTAATACTACTAAAAAATAAAAAATTTTCAAAAAATACTAATAAATAAAGTATGAATTTTCAATTTAAAAATTAAATGAAAATATTTATATCAGTCAACTTTGTGGACAACCCTAATAACATAAAACATTAGATTATATACCGGAATCTATGACTCCCTTAATATTATAGTTAATGTACTGTATTATAGTGTTATCACACAATTTGTCAAAATACACACACACACACACACACACACACACACACACACACACACACACACACACACACACACACACACACACACACACACACACACACACACACACACACATAGACACAATGATAACAATATAAATCAAATAAATAATAAATTTATATATTTTTTTCCAACATATAACTCATATAAGGAATGCATTGATGATTACAGTAAGCAATAGTCTATATTTTTTGCAACAAAAAATAATAATAATAATAACTAACATATAGTGGAAAATAACATTTATTAATAATTTGATTTTTATTTTATATATAAAAAAACAGTTTTAACTATAATATAGTTACAACATTTAACACGCGTTTAACAACTATACGCCCATATTTAATAAAAAGTATATATTTATTTATATTTATTATTATTTTATAAAAAATTACTAATTTAAATATATAATTATTAAAAAACTAAAATAATTTTATTTTTATTTACTAGATTATCTAGGAAATATTTAAAAAAAAAATAAAACTATATTTAACTAAAAAAAATCAACAATGCCATTTACCTGTAGTGATATATGCAAGATCATTTTTGCCATACTATTGCCACCATTGGGTGTACTCATGGAGGTCGGCTGCAACTGTGACCTACTAATCAATATAGCCCTGACCTGTCTGGGCTATATACCCGGGATTATACATGCACTGTATATTATATTTAAATATTAATAATAGCACCATCAATCAATCAATCAACCAAATTCAAGCATGGTCATTTTTATGTATTAAAGTATTATTATTATTATTATTTCTAAATTATTAATTTTAAAATATATATAACATCATATTATATATATATATATATTTTTATTTTATTTGTTTTTTTTAATTAATTATGTTAATTTAATGTATGTGTGTGTGTGTGTGTGTGTCTTAAAATTTATCATTATATTTTTGATTTTGTTTTTAATTTTTGTTTTTTTTAATTATATTATTGTCATTCACAAAAATATACCCTTTAGAGTTATTATGAGATTATTATTATTATTATAAAATTAATGTTTAATTTTTTTTATTAAAATTTAATTATTAATTATTATTGTTTTTCTAATATACTGTATATTGCATGTTTAATTGTTTAAAACATAAATACATATATATATATATATAATAAAAATATGTAACATTTATTATATTTATATATTTTTTTTGAAAATTTAATTAACAAATTACTATTTATATATCTAATAAAACGCTGAAAAAAAATAAAATTTATTAATTTAATTATTTAATATTACAGTAGATATTATATGGAAAATGTTTAATTATAATAACAATAATTTCTATTTAGTGATAATTACCTTGGTAACTTTTTATATGTCATTTAAAGATAACACAACAATTTACTTTTATTTACATTAGATTTTTGTTTGTTTGAGTATCTCAAAGTATTAACATATTTTTATATATTAATAATGATTATAATAATATTTTATTATTGCAATAAATACAATATATGTAAAATAAAACAAAATAAAATAAAAATTATAATATTAATAATTTCAAAATAATTTAGTTAATAAAATTATTGTACATATATATATATATATATATGTGTGTGTGCAATAATTTTATTATATATATATATTAAATAGTTTTTATATTTTAATACAATTGTATAAATATATTATAGATTTATTACTATTTTTGATGTATATTATAATAAAATATTTTATTTTTTTAATTAATAAAATTCATTCATTGATTACAACAAAAACAACAACAAAAACAACAACAAAAATATATATAATTTTCTTTTAATTATAAAACTTTTTTTTTGCTTTTAAAAGTTCCCATTAAATGTCAAACTAAAATATTTCATAAAAATTATTATGGAATGAATTATTATATCAAAAAAATAATAATTAATTGATTTTACAATTATTATGTGTTGAAATAAATTTATAAATAAAATTAGTTTTACTAAATAACCAGAAAAAAATCCTATATATAGATATATTATAAATTATTGGTAAATGTCAAAAATTAATTGTATGTGTAGTTTATAAATTAATAGTTAAACTTTTTTTGTGCAGTATTAAAAAACTAATTTTCAATTTATTAGAGTATTACATCAATTATTATTATTTATAATTATAAATAATTATCTAAAAAAAATATTTTTACCTAAAAAACAAATATACAAATATTATTCAAGTATCCAAAAAATAAACATTATTATTATAACAATTAAAAAATATATATTAATATGAAATTAAAAATACAAAACAAATCAAACAATAGAGTTGCCATCGAAAATGTGCTAGTTAATTTTTATTTGGATATTATCAAGCAAAAATCTACTACTACTACTACCACTACCACCATAAACATGTATATTAAAAAACATATTAAATTAATAAACTGGATAATTATAGTCAATTATTTGGTATTATTATTAAAAACCATATATATTATGTCAATGTATGGACAGTTAGATTATGAGAGTCGACTGATTATATGCGATCCGACCATATTTTACGGTGATCTAGTTGAATTTACCAATTTAATGATGGTATTGGGCTATGTATTTGGTATAGCCCAGGCCCTAAGGTACCGGGTGTTTACTATTACTACTACTACTAATAATATTAATAACTATAACTATAATTCACACGATTGGACACTGGTATTTGAAATTATGAGAAGCCCGACACTGTGCAAACTATTGAAAACTAGACTATTGATAAAATTATCAAAATTTACCCGTATCATCTATTGGATACTTGATTTAGTTGTTATTAATTTTGGTAATTATATTTGATTGTTAAATATTATTTTGTTTAATTTTGTTTTTTTAATCTTCAAAATTAAATTATTTTTACTTTATATATAAAAATAACTATTGAATTATCATTTTTTTTAATTTATTTAATTATTATTGTTTACACAGTATTGTTTGATAATAGATTTTTTTATTAAATAATAAATTATTATTTTAGCTGGGTAATAAAAATTATAATTAAAAAGTCATATACTAACTCTGTTACATCAAAATAAATAACACATTAATATTATTTTATAGCTTTGATATATTTATTAGTTAAATATTTACAGTTTGTATTGTATTTATAGCGTTATAAAACGTTTATTATTAATACTATTTATTTATTTATTTTTTAAAAAATGTTTTAATATTTATAAAATTATCAATAGCTAGAATATTTGTATTATTATTGATATAATTTAATTATTATTATAACTTAATTATTATTATAACTTAATTATTATTATAACTTAATTATTATTATAACTTAATTATTATTATAACTTAATTATTATTATAACTTAATTATTATTATAACTTAATTATTATTATAACTTAATTATTATTATAACTTAATTATTATTATTACTTAATTATTATTATAACTTAATTATTATTATAACTTAATTATTATTATAACTTAATTATTATTATTACTTAATTATTATTATAACTTAATTATTATTATAACTTAATTATTATAATAACTTAATAATAATTATTATTACTATTAAAAATATTATTATTTACAAACTATATAATAAAGTATTTAAATATTTAACATTTATATTATTGCATATTAGTTGCATTCATCATAATCATAACTATGGTTAGTACGATAAAAGTCTATACAATTTGGCAACTATTTGTAGCATTGTGGCCAACCCTACTGATTATTGCCGGTTTTATTGTACTGTTTGTCGACGCACTGGTCGGTGCGGCCATAGTCCTGATTATATGCTATTTTATGCATTTGCGTTTGGCCGGTGTTAACCATACCATTGAACGCCTATGGAAATACCGGTACATCCAAACAACTGGTCGACCAATCGGTCGTAGCCAACAAATCCTACGCCTACCAGCACTGGTAGCCCGTGGTGTCCAAGACTATCTGTCGAGACACTACTATCTAATCCAACAGTTTGTATCGTTCAACCAGTATTGGCGGCACCTGTATCTGGCATTTCTGGCGACAGTATTTCCCATAAATCTACTACAAATACACCAGTTTTTGTTTGAAAACCTAACACTAATGGAACGTATGTTTTTTATGTGTGGCCTACTTGTTCAACTATCAATGCTATTTTGTGTATCCTATTGGCTGGCACAACTGTCCTTTAGTATACATCAGCTAAGCGGCCGACTATCACGTACACAGTGGTCACTGGTCGGCCGGCTGGGTCATCGGCAGCTTAAGTTCAAACTGTTAAGTTGTTTTGAAAAGTTAAGTGCCCGACAAAAAATCGGTATAACTATCGGTCCGTTTGTTACGATGACGTTTCCCGTATTTGGAAAGGTATGTAATATATAGTACCCAAAATAAAAATTATTTTTTATTTTTAATATATATATATAATTAAAAATTATACATTTATTTTTATTTAATTAGATTTTTATAATGTATTGTCGATTTTTTATATTAGTCAACAAGTTTGCTATACGTCTACAAAAATAATTATATATTATATATTATTTTTTAATATATATCTATTTATAATAAATAATTTTTTAAAAATCCAATTTATTATAATAATACTAATAATTACTATTATCTGACTTGAAAATATAATATAATTATATATTTAAAAGTAATATTACTATTATATTTAATTATTGTAATTTATAAATATTTTGATTAATATTTTTAAAAACAATTTTTACAAAAAAAAATTATTATTATAAATATAATTATAATTTATATTAAATATTTATTTTTAAATATTTAATATTTGTTCTACATTGTATATAATATAATTAAAGTAATAAATAAAAAATTTTAACGATATAAAAAATTAAAATAATTTTTTTTATCTACATTTACTATACTAATCATAATTATACAAAATATAGTCTATTACAGGGTCGCTAAAGGGGGGTAGGGGGGTAAGACGTCTTACCCCCCTGAGATCGAGAAATTTTGGCTTTTACCCCCCCTGGCCTGAAGCCAAAAAGTTAGGGGGCCCCCTACCAATCTTCGGCGCCAAAGGCGCCGAAAATTTTTTTCATCGATGTAAAATTTTATATTAAACAAAAAAATAAATATTAAATTAGTTTTAATATAAATTAATAGCTTATGTATAGAAAATAAATAGATAAAAATGCTTAATTACATCAATTTAACATTATTTACAATAGTTGGGGCACTCCACAAGCTAAAAAATAAATTCCCACCAATTTTCAAAAAAATTATTTTATTTTATTTATAGCTGTTTATAAAAGATAATATATATTTTATTTCTTATTTAAAGTCGAAAACTAAGATTTTTAGCATAAATTTTAAAATAATTATATTTTAATATTTTTAAACTTTATATTAAAATGTGTTAGTTGTGCTTTAAAAATAATAATAATTATATTAACTAAATATTACATAAATAGAGTTGGGTCACTCCACAAAAAAAGCTCCCTAATAAATTCCCACCAATTTTTAAAAAAATAATCAAATATATTTTATTTTATTTAATTATTTAGTTATTTAATAATTATTTCTGACAATATTATTATTAAGACGTTA